ATAAGAGATTATTAAACACCAACAACATTTTTCTTTATCACCCTCCTTCCTCACCTTTCTCCCTCTCCTCATCTATCTGAAACCCAGATTTACGCATATGCCAATATGGATTCAGCATGAAACTCATCTAATAATATTGCAATAATCCGGCACTTTTGCTGGATGACGTCCAATTGTTTATGAGTCACCCAAGAGAATTTATCTTGACATTGCAAGTAATCTATCTGTGCCATTTGTACGTGCGACATGAAATATCCTTGATCACCCAGACTCAGACATGTGGAAAGGACATCCTCGTGAATCATATTGTTTTTTAGAAGCGCCTTATGACTGTCATGACATGAATTAGAATTAGAGTGGGCCGGTGTATACGGAATGAATCACCGAAATCAAGAATTAATCTATAATTACCTGGCAATTCTCCTGTCCAAGCATTTCTCACACGAGTAAACTTGGAATTCCCAATATTTCTTTAACTTTTTCTTATCCATCTCCTCGCAGAATTGACATTTTTTTGCCAACACCACCAAGAAAATATATTGTTGCTCCGACATATCTTTCAATGGTGGTGACTTATACTGTGGATAGAACGTCTTCCTCGAATTCCTCCATATCTGCTGCGTCACCGTTGAACTTGATGACCACAGGAAGCTTCGAAGAGATCTACATACGGTAGAGAGGGCATATAAATCTTCAGGTGGAAGCTTCTCGCAGATTTCGGTGAGAATTTCGTCGGGTAGTGATAGTATAGGAGATGTTTGCGGAAACGATAAAAGTTTTTGAAGGTAAGTAATATTTAGGTTGTTGCTTTCCGAAATGTAAGTTTTTGGTTTTATTAAGTTCGCCTTGGTGCTTGTATGTACATTGGAAGAAGGAAGTGGCGGTGATACGGCGGTGCGTACAGTCATTGTGGCCAGTGATGAGAGTAGCGAGTAGATGGCTGATAGTTTTTTGTTCACCAGAAATCCTAGGTGTAGTCGGTTAAGAAAATACATTGTGCTTTTTAACAATTTAGACTGATCCGTCTGAAGGATTTGTTGTTATACCGAACTTGTATTTTGCATGAACGTACACAATCGAGTAAAGTAGCGCAATATTGCACAAAAGAATCAAGAACAAGTATGTAAATCGGGAATGGAACGAGTCGTTGTTTCAATGGAGAAATCAGCCAGAGATTATTTTTCAAAAAAAAAAAAAAAAAAATCTAAATAAATAAGGTTGAGACCAAAAAATTCAGGTAAATGAATAAGATAACCCAGTTCTTATATAGTATAGTTGATATCTTTTGTACAGACCAGTAATAATAGGTGATGGTTACCGGTAAACAGATGCAAACCTTAATGACGGCGGTGTATATGCTGAGTTACTACACCGCAATTGGCAAATGAGCAAAGATTGACCTGAAGGAAGACGCCGTAGGTGTGGGTTAGTTTTAAACTCGTGATGCTACAGAAGTGGTTAGCCGATAATTATTTATCGTACGTAAAGCACTGCAGGACAAAACACTACCGTGACTACGTATTCGATGCACGTAACATTCACAACAACACATATGCGATGACCCCATTGTTATTAACAATTTTAGAACAATAATTGTGAAAAACATTGGGCTATGGTTTTGTGTACATTTTACGGTACAGTACGTATACATATAAATCTTACGTTGATATGCTGTATGTGGTGAGACCAGTGAATGTCCGGTTGATTGAATTTCTCTCAGATTATTTTTCTTTGTCCTTATAGGAATGTTAAATGAGGTGTGAAGAGAACATACGTAGTAATTTAAATCAGATGAAAAATGTATAAGGTGACTAGTAGTGACCGATTGTATGATTGCACAGATTCTTTAGACGAAAAGATTGGATGTGTAGCAGCCCATAGGCAGTTATTTTCTAATTTGATATTTACAATAAGCGAGTGGTCGATTACTACGGAAACGATAGATTCGTTGTTTATATTAAGAGGGTTTGGACGGGAAACGATTCCAAATTATTTATATTTAAGTCTTTTTGGTTTTAAAAAAGTTGCACGGAAGTACATTTTCACCTTATATATCGTCAACATTTGTAAACAGGAATATGACAGGAGCAGCCATATAATTATTTTCACCACTAGAAAACATTACTCTAGGAAAAATTCCAAGATTTCAGGTATGTGAGCAACGTACCCTCATTAATAAACACCCGAAGCAAACGCAACGAGTATTTCTAAAAATAACATGATCACCCATGTTCCCCTTAAATTACGATTCAACTTACAGTATGCCTTTTAACGTGTGACACTTCCCTTCGTTAAGCAGCACATCACATCTCTCAACCGACCAACCGCCGTTGTGATCAGATATTCGCATGTACATGCATGCACAAAACGTTTCCCGCTACACTAGTGTCCTCATTGATTCCCTTTTTATCGGTTCTTGATCTTGTGTCTTGATTCTTTGGATGTGCATTTTGACAATATGTACTCACTGATTTTGATTATGCGTCTCTCTTCCGTGCAAATTTCCTGCATTTACAACTCGCGAAGAATCCATTATTATTGTCACTTATGTCCGAAACGCGTCACACATTAAATCATCATCTGTAAATCACGATTATAATTTAGGGAGTCTTTATCATTAATTACCTTTTTCCCGATGTTGGGAAATGATTGATCACCGGACATTCGTTTCTTAATTTGTATAATCCTACTTTTCCTATTCTAGTATATTTTATCCTTCATATTGATGTGAGACGATTCTTTGTAATAATAATAATAATAATAACAATATATCATTATCTTGAAAACGTATTCATGTGAAGATTACGTATAACATGTATGCTCCTCCTGGTTACTACACATTTGAGCCAAAGTAAGTTGTATTTTTTTTTTTACAGAACTTTCGCTTTTTACCGTTTCTTTCTTTCTTTACTTTGTTTGTTATATGTCATTCCATTTATGGTTTCATACTGTTAAGTTTTTCTTGTATATTTTTCTGTGACAAAACATGGTGTGTAAATACACAAGCTCAAGGGAAGCATCGGGCTGTGTACGACCATGCCATAATTGTGCGCGCTAATTATGTTTTATGTCTCTGACAATGAAAAAACAAAAACCTTTTATTTTGGTGTGAAATTTCGGTTATTAATAGCATGCTGAAATTACCTAACCTAAATTAATTAATTCTCTCTCAAAAAAGAATATTGGGTCATCATATGACTCTTAAGATATGTTGCACAATATCTCGGATTATGTAGACTTGGGGACTTTAGGAAATTATCATTTTGCGTGTAACCATGGCTTTCCAGTGCAACACACAGTTGCAATGGGCGATTGGGATTGGGATTATTTCTGAACCATCTGCCCCTGACCAACCATTATCATGACGTAGAACTATAATATACCATTCGTTAATTTGTAATTCTGATTACATACAGTCGCCACAGAAAGCAACGCCCGATAATCAATTCTTCTTAAGATGTGCAGTCAGTCATAAAGTATACTTACAGATTATATGTATCGAATCAATTTATCTTTCTATGTCATAACGCACATACGGTGTTCTGTATATCTCTTAAGGATCATGTCTTTGGTTCCCAAGTTAACTCCACATATCTGTTATATAAAATCCTTCTCAATTATTAACTTGTTTATAATAAACTGATGCATCCATCTTCAACGTTTAAAATTATCGAATTTACATATAAAAATAAATTTTTCAATTTATAATAAAATATCTAAACAACCAATAGTTTATAAAAAACTATTGTTTATTTATACTATGCGTACTTACATATCTACTGTAATTATAGGTTTGGTTTTCAATAAATTATCAATTAACCATTTAAAAAATTTCCGTTATTAATATCATGAAAATTGAATGGCAAAAAAAAACAAAAAAAAATTAAAAAACAAATTCATGTGCCAAAAATCAATTCAGTTCAAAAACCAATACGATGTAATATGGATAATTCTTTTTGGGATTTTTTTGACTTTATAATTGTACTTCTAGAATTTATATTGTATATGTATTGTTCAAAAAATAGGGATCAAAGAATCAGCCATATCTATTTATTTATCTAAAACTTTCAAGTTCATGTCATTAAAATAAAACATAACGAGAATAGTGAATTTGATAATCACAATGTTTATTATTTTAAGTTTATCAATTAAATAAAATATGAAAATTTTTTTTGTAAATAATGTATTTACAATTATAAATACGTATTTACTTAATATTAAAAAAAATAAAATTACGTAATATTAAATTATAATATACGGTATTAATAACTATAAAAGATAAATTGATAAAAAAATTTCATTTGAAAAGTATTAATAAATAAAGTAATACGTGTATTGTTTTGTTTTGAAAATGTTATTTAAATTAAATAACATAAATAATAAAATATTAGTTATATTTAAAGTTTATAGTTATATTATTTAATTTATAAGATAACTGAATATTTAAATTATTGAAAAGGTAATATATTTAAATAATTCAAGATTAAGAAATTCTTTAGACATATTAATTTTAACAAATTTGCTTATCATATCTCAATTTTAGTTTATACAATTCTTGAATAAGAAGAAAATGATAATAGAATATATATTTTCTAGTAAATACTTCAAAATATATTTTTTAATTAATATTTGCTATCAAATCTAGAATTATAATAATTAAGTGAAATTCAATTCAAACATTTTGTTAATATACAGTATATTTTAATTGGTTATTTTTATTAAAACATATTTACTTTAATTTAATTTAAAAGTTATTAATTAAAAATTTTTTATTTTTAAATATAAATTACTAATATAAATAAAATTTATTGAAATTAAAAAACTTTTTCCACAAAACCTCCAATTTTTTAAAAATTATCTTCTTTGATAATTTTGAGAAAACTCTCAAGAAACATATTATTTTTAAATATTAAAGCTCACAAAATCATAACTAAATACAAACAACTGTTTAGAAAGAAAAAATCTCTTGTTAATACATTTGTTACTAACAATTTCTTGCTTGTTTCTTTCTTTTTCTTCAAATAAATAAATTTTATAGCAAAAAAAGGAAGACACAAGCAATACAATTTACAATAAGCTTAAAGAAAAGTCAATATCAATCCTCATAGCTTCTAACCAGTTATATACAAAATTCTACACCTTCCTAGATACTAGAAGGATTATTGCTAATCAGATTTCACCTAATAAATTCAGCAATCTAGGCACTAGACAAAAAACAAGAAAACGTCAGACTTTTCAAAGGGGAATCTAAAAGAAAGGACTCCAAATAATAAATAACATCACAACAATCAATATTAATATTCCTAAGTTACACAACAAATTTTTTCAGATTGGGGAAAAACCAGATCCAGCTTACCCCCAGCAAGTGGTCGACATCACCAACATGTCAAGCAAATCAAACACATATTAATAAATAAACATGTCTAGTAACAAAACAAACATATCAACAACATAGTCACACTATTATTACAAACATATCATCAAATCAAACATGTCAATAATATAACAATAAAATATATTAGCAACAATAACTTCAACACATCAACCATATCAATGTATCAATATAAACACATAAATACATTTGAAGTAAATTATCAAAACATATGTCCAAATTTATTTTAACATATTTAAGCAATGGCCAAATCAAATTCTAATATAATTCCAAGCAACAAAATTCCAATATCAATAATAATACCCTATACAAATATCAACAATAATAATAATCTATTATTAGATATTATTCTAATAGATAGAATCCAATACTACATATCTATAATTTATCAAAATAGGAATTAAGAAATCACTTTAATAGATCCATTCAAATTAACAACAATTTCCTTGCTCAATAATTATCCAACAAAATAGCTTATTTCTACTATAAGTATTTCCAGATTAAAGTTCACAATTTCAGATCGAGTTCATAACTTTGGAGAATCATAAAAATTTTTCAATACAAGTTTCAATTCTTAAAGAGAAATAATTCCAGATCCTAAAC